CGGTATTATTTTCATTATTATTATCATTTCGTTATTGTAGGAATTATTTTAACTATTATCTGTATTATTTTAATGTTTGTTGGTATTGTTTTTAGTATTATTGGTATTATTTTCATTGTCGCTGTGGTTCCTTATACCATTAGGCTGCTACTGAGAGAAGAACAGCATAAGATAGTGTTAGTTCAGTAGATGGGTATAATGGCCGCTTCACTATATTTTTGTATTGTTTTGATTATACACATATAGAGTACAAGTTGTGTTTTACGCATTTAATGGACAGAGCTCCTTTTTCATTCAATATATTGATGCTACTTATAATTTTTTTTTATTATTATTATTTTTTTTGTGTGAATTAGCTAATAATAATGCCGATTTAGTGGCAAACTTCATAATTTTTCTATCTTTTAGCTAATAATAATATGCCGATTTGATTTTAAGTTATGACGCGGTTAAATTTCGTTATTTTTAGCCATTTTATTACTCGGAACAACTATATTTATAAACAAAGCCACCAACGACAAAACATATATATTAGATGTATGTCTATATACATCTCTACCCATCTATCTTTTTATCTATACCTATCTTTGCACACACACACACACACACATACACACACACGCACACGCACAAGCAACACACACACACACGAATACATAAAAAAAACGATGAGATATGCCAGGAAGAGGGGGGGGGTAGGGTGTCCCTGTTGGAAAAAGGGTTTCATGACTTGCTTTTTTTTACCCGTATAAAAACATAATTAAAACCTTATAGGATGTAGATAAGCTAAAGCAGGGTTTCCCGTGGCTCGACTCCCTAGGGGTGTGAGATAGAATTCGAACAAGAGGTGCGAGAAGCGTCCATCTTGAAGACAAGCAATTAATCGATTTATTACTCATGATCAAGAAACAGGAATAAAAGAGCCAATGAACTGAAAATTCATTTATATAAACGTTTTATAGTTCTTTGATTTTTACATATAGATATTTCAAGCAAGTGATTACTTTCTGTAGGGTTTATTCAAATAATTGGACACGTTTTCTTGTCGACACGTTTGTATTTTGTTAACATATTATTAGAAAATGAAAAAAATCTTTTGTTGATCAAATTCAGTATAAATTCTCCTCCTTTCCTTAAATAAGCTATAAATTTAAAGGAGGTGCGAGGACACTGTAAAAATTTTCTTAGGGGGTGCGGCGTAAAAAGGTTGGGAACCACTGAGTAAAGCGATGTAGTATCGTCGATGGTTTAGCGTGTTACAGCTCTCTCTCTCTCTCTCTCTCTCTCTCTCTCTCTCTCTCTCTCTGTATCTGTATATCTGAGTATATATATATATATATATATATATATATATATATATATATATATATATATATGTGTGTGTGTGTGTGTGTGTGTGTGTGTGTGTGTGTGTGTGTGTGTGTGTGTGTGTGTGTGTGTGTGTGTGTGTGTGTGTGTGTGTGTGTGTGTGTGTGTGTGTGTGTGTGTGTGTGTGTGTGTGTCGTGTGTGTGTGTGTGTGTGTATAGATATATATATGATATTTATTTATTTGTGTGTGTGTGCGTGCATGCGTGCGCGCGTGTGTACAAAAATCGTCGGAGGGGGTTTACCAGACTACACCTCGTCTACGCAAGAAACATTATTAGCAAAACAATAATGATTAAACAAAATGACAACCTGGGAATTTGACGTTCGTACTAGTCGGCCAACCGTCATTTCCGAACACTGTGGCGTGATGCAAATTGCCCTCAAATGTTGCTTTTTCCTATTAAGAGTTCTGTTTAATAAGACGGAAAAAAAATCGTACGAATGGAAAATCCCTATTTTGTTTATATATATGTTTTTGTTTCATACCATGTACTTGGCTCTATCTGTAAGTTGGAGATATCTATTTATCTATCTATATCAGTCTATTTCACCTCTAAATCAATTATATATATATATATATATATATATATATATATATATATATATATATATATATATATATATATATATATTATGTATATATATATTCATTCTTACATCACATATATACACATGTGTATTTTTTTGTGGTGAGTGTGTGTGTGCGTGCGTGTGTGCGTATTTGCGTGCGTTGTACCCCTTTCAAAATAACATCATCTGGCTGATAATCAGAAAATCTCAGAGTGGTTTCCAACACTCTCCTAAAAGGGATCGGAACTGACGTGTCCTTGGGAAGCGATCTGGAACGGGAAGGCCGTCCTGCAGGCGAGGCAGAATAGGCAAGGAGACACATTTTATAGAAATCATCACTATGTAGTCCTCTTGCTTGACCCGGTTTGGATTGTGGTCAAGAAAGACACGTCTGTACAAGGTGAATCCTGACGAGTTTTTTGGCTGGTGTGACCTAGCTCGGGTCAAGGTTGAGGGAGAGGAATCTGTTCTTGACAAAAGCTGGACTCTCTGAATACATACTTGGAGTTGTTCAAGTATATAGCATCAAGTATATATATATATATATATATATATATATATATATATATATATATATATATATATATATATATGTGATATATATTATATATATATATATATATATATATATATATATACCACACACACCCACACAACACACACACACACACACACATATATATATATATATATATATATATATATATATATATATATATATATGTATATATGTATGTATATATATATGCACATTGTCCTGGAAGACTGCATTAAACTACACGCAGTCATGACAATATACATATATATATATATATATATATATATATATATATATATATATATATATATAAAGCGTGGGATCCAAAATCTCCCTCTCGATGAGCCAGGACAAAGGTGCTTGTGGCATGGCAGCGTTGTTGATAATTTTGACTTTATAGATTTCATTTTATGTCTGGCGGAAGCACAGAGCAACTGATAAAACGATAATTAGTCTTAACTGCGAACAAAGAAATAATTTGTGTGTTTGTGAGTGTGCGTGTGTGTGTGTGTGTGTGTTTGTGTGTGTGTGTGTGTGTGTGTGCGTGTGTGTGTGTGTGTGTGTGTGTGTGTGTGTGTGTGTGTGTGTGTGTGTGTGTGTGTGTGTGTGTGTGTGTGTGTGTGTGTGTGTGTGTGTGTTATGTGTGCAGAAAGAAGCCAAAAACAGTCCTTGTCTCTGGATGGAATTTCCTTTCCTTCTGGACCCAAGCATACCCGGGTACAGGATTGACCTCAGGCTAAGGAACAGAAGTATGACGTGGAGAATGTTTAACTGAGTTCAACCATGGCAACACACACGCACAAACACGCACGCACACACACACACACACACGCGCATGCATGCACACGCACGCACACACGCATGCACGCACACAGCATGGCACGCACGCACACACACACGCACGCACGCACACGCACATACACAACACTACACACACACTAAACGCCCATTTTTAATCTTTCTTTCTTAAAAAGTATTAAAACCGGCTTCTATTTCTTTTTATTAGCACCTGAAACATACCTTTTTCTTAATCATTTTTTCGTTTATCATCCCGCTTTATCTTTTTTTTTTATATTTGGAGGCCTTTCATTGCTCCAGAAAGGCGCTTGCATCATCTCTCTCTCGCTGCAACAGGCTGACAAACACAACCGCCATTGGCACTCTTTAAGGATCACTGCACTGTGCCACATAGCTTCTGGAACTTTCTGGAATGCGTGAGCTCATGTCTATGTTGGGGAGTCACCATCACCCTTCATGGCTGGGACATATAGCTACTTTGTTTTGAATCATTATAGCATTATAGTTGTGTCTATAGTTGGTGGTTTTGTGTATTTTTATAGTATGTTTATAATGACATATAAGGTCGGGTGTGTGAAGGTGTGCGAGTGTAATGGAAATGTTGATTCCGTGGTATTTTAGCAGAAATGCGTGTCAGAATGTTTTTTTTTTTTTCATATTTTATCGTATCATCTGAAGGGACATGCAATCATAGATAATTTGATCCAATTTTCAGTTTAATTTGCATTCTTGTTATTCTGTTCATCGTTTCATATATCCATGACTAACAACCGTCATGTGTATTTAGAGCAATAGGAGAGCCATTTTCTTTAAGAAATAATAATTCCTTATCGGAAAACTAATCTAATAACGCTCGCTCGTGTGTGAATGTTCCCTCACGTATGCACGCCCCGCACGCCAAGCAGCGGATGCACTACATCACGTCGTAACAATAATTCCAGATGCCACCCCTTAAGAAAAAAACAATTTCCTTCTTGCGAGATGAAAAATTTCCGTTCCCAGGCGTTTATTTCCCCCTCCCCGCGAGTGCTCTGGGCGCCTCCCGCGGGCACTTCGCGAATCTTTTGTGAAGGTCGAAAGGTCGCCCCTTCCGGTCCTACCCTGCTTCCGGTGGCGCCGCCCTTCCTACCCTTGTCAGCTGCCGGTAATTAAAAGAATACCCACGGCTAATCACTGTCGTTGGAGTAAAAGAAAGAAAAAAAGGGGGGGGGGTGTATTTTTAGGATAATCACGGTTTGTGGAATTCATTTTGAATCTGGAAATTCCAAAAGGCGCACAAAATGGCTGCCGATCTTTGTACTTCCGGTGAATAGGGGTACCACCTTTTGCAAAGTTCGTTGCAATAATCGAAAGTTTGACCAAATAGTGAAACAAACACAATCGTGTTCTATAAGAGAATGCGAATTATAATTCTATACAATGGCCTGAGTAACAGTAATTTGCATATGGGCTCTAATTATGAAAAAAAAACGTATATTATGATTTCAGAAAGATGTACTTAGCACGTGGTAGTTCAGTACTCATTCTCATATATAATTCCATGGACATATCCGTCATTCATATTCATGTTATGTCACTGTTACATTTGTTTTGGATTTCCCATTAATGTGACCTGCATAATGTATCAATGTGTAATGTATCAATATATATTCTTCTCAGTATTCATTTCCAATGTTCTCTAAACATTGGAAAAAATAACTTCAAGGATGCAAAATAAAACAACTCTAAACAAAGTTCACTTTTATACACAAACAATAAGACAGTTATATTCCAGTTATCAAAAATATATATAACAGTTATCCTTACAAAGATAAGGCACAGATGACTCACCAACGTAGATTAAATAATATAAACATGATACATATATGAAGCAAAATGTATGCTATATGGCATAACCTGGTGATATGTGTCCCTTGGTTGTATAGTGTGCATTGTATCGCACTAAAATACTGTAGAATATGACATATAAGATACTGTTAAAGCAGACTATGATATAAAAAAAACATTGGCCATGATTACATGAAAAAAAATAATAAAAATAAAATAATGAAATCACATAGGAGTAATTTTCGTAAGCAATTCCTACAGATGGAGAATTATGAATGGAAGATCACATTCTACATGAACAAATGAATAAAAAAAAAAAAAACATGGCGAAAGCGTAAAACTACAATGTGTATCATAGAAATATGTGGAACATAAAACAGCTGAGGATCACTAGGCGCTTCGAGATGGATATTCAGGAACATAATACTGTATAGGCCTATGGAATTTCATGGAGGCTACAGTGATGCCAATTGTACACGTCATTAGTTATCAACGTCCATTCATTGACGAAACGGTGAATTGAGAAATATACATTATCATTTTTCTTTAAATTAGGACAGGAAATAAATCATTCTTGTTAATCGTTTTCACAAATTCTAAAAACACTTCACATCTCACATCCCCGTGTTAATAAGATGCCTCACACTCTCCCTATCACAACAAAACACAGAAAAAAAAAATCTTACAAATATAAAGGACAATAAAATCGCCTAAGAAATCTCTCCGGAGCAGATTTTTCGAAATAAATCTACCAGTAACACATTCATTCCTACAGAAGGATTAAAAGGATACACTGGCCAATCCTATGATAGCTGTTGCAGGCTAGGATGACGCAATCAGGATGAGAGAGAGATGAAAGACACATGACTGGATATTGCAGGAACCATATAAGGCATAAATACGTGAGCAAGAAATATACATATCTTATTCACAAATACTGTTTTATTTTTTTCATATAATTGTGACTTTATTTTCATTCTTCTTCTATTAGATTCCTATTCTATGTTTCGTGAACATACTTAAATACATTCAGTCTTGGAAGTTCTTGCTATTAATATATGTAGATCATACCGGTCAAGTATGATTTGTCAAATTTATGTATTGAATGCCCTTTGCACCTTTCTGATGACTTCACCTTAAAAAATCTTTGATCTGAAGTCACGCTGTCGTTTTTCCTATTTACATTTTTTTTAATGAAACTAAAATATAAACACTGATAAAAATCTGAAGCACAACCTTTAGAAATGACAGGAAAAGGGGGTTCGAGCTAAAATGTGACCAGATGAGATAGAATGAGAAAGAGAGAGAGAGAGAGAGAGAGAGAGAGAGAGAGAGAGAGAGAGAGAGAGAGAGAGAGAGAGAGAGAGAGAGAGAGAGAGAGAGAGAGAGAGAGAGAGAGAGAAAATTCCTCATTACACATGTATGAACAAAGAATGAGATCAAAGGTAGTGGGAAAAAGATAATTTGAAAACATGTCTTTCGCTTTGGGAAGAAAAAATAAAATACTCGACAGAATTCTTCTAAAAAAAAAAAAATCAAGCTGGTGCCACAGACATTGCCCTGCATTAACAGCTCATTCCCCTTTTACGGAAATAGCCAACAGCCGGAAGCCACAGTGCGAATGGTCCTCTTTGTTATACTTTGGCCAGAATAATACACAGAGGGAAACCCGTAGGTCAGGAATGACATGGAGCCGCAGTTGATAATGCCTATTAACAACAGTATGGCAACTGTGTGAGCAACTTGACTGAATCCTAAGGAGAGCGGGGTCCTCGGCGCAAACGCAGGACGAATGATTGTCATGTCGTAAGATCACAGCGAATAATGAATACTTATGGCAGGAAAGCACTTAATTGCTATCTAAGCTTTTCTTCAATTGTGGAAGCTTTCTATCGGCCAGGCAACGTGCACTCGAGCGCTGTCTGTGCCCGGCCAATGGCGATAACTGAAAATGATAAGAGAAAAGTGAATTACTGTCCACGCCCCTCATAAGTCCGACTCGAGGGGCGGCGGCAGATCGCTCCGACTAGCACTAACACCATTGGACCCGTGCGGACTCGAGGTCGCCAGCGGCGCCGTCGGCCTCGGCGAGGGCGTCGAGCGCGACGGCGACTGTCGTCTCGGCGACTTGGGAGACCGCGGGGGTCGCTGGGGAGGCGTCGGCGGGTTGGACGGCCCCGAGCTGCCGTCGATGCGCGTCTCGTCGATGCGAGCCAAGGGCGCCACGACGGGCTCGCCCGGCTGCGGCGGGGGCGTGGACGGCGTCACTTTCTGGGGCTCGTCCATGTCCTCGGGAGGAGGGAGGTCCTCCGTCGCCTCGTCGTACTCCGGCGGACACTGGTCTAAGGGCACCGTGTGCATGAGCGGAGGATCCACAGGGAGATCGGGGAGGTCGTCGTCGGAGGCCGTCGTGTGGATCTCGACGGACACCGTGGACGGCGTGCGCTGCTGCGGCCCCGGGCTGTAGGGCGGCGGGATCTGGTCGCCGTCCACGTGGTCGTCGTCGTCCTCGTCGGGCGGCGCCGAGGCGTTGGCCGAGTCAGAGGTGTCCCGCCGGCGGTAGGGAGGAAGCAGGGTGTGGTCGTCGATGATCGGGATGTCTATGCCGGGCTGAGGGAGGTCGGCGGGCAGCGGCTCCTTGTAGCCGTTCGGGGAGCCGTTCCTGGCCTTGTGCATGTCCTCGAAGTCCCACGGCGGCGTCGACGTCCGATAGTGGTGGTGGGCCGGGAGGTGCTCGGGCGTGTGGGGGCGCTTGCTGGTCCCCGAGGAGCCCCAGCCGCACCACGCCGCCACCGTCTGCGCCAGCAGCAGCATCAGGAAGATGAGAGTGAGGGCCGTGCACAGCGTGACGCTCGTGGTCTTGACGACGGGAGGCAGGTTCTGCGCCAGCTTGAGGAGCCCGACCACCTCGCCGGGCAAGGAATCCACGCCAACTTCGAACCAGAAGATGGGCAGGACCACGTCGAAGTGGCGGGCGCGCTCAAGGGCCTGGCTGCGGTCCAGCATGACGTTCATCTGCATGCGGAGCTTCACCCGCAGAGGAACCCCGAGGTCCGGGTAGATGTCGAACTCCGTCCGGTGCTTCGTCTCGTCCGGT